GCGCTCCGCCCCGCCACAGAGTCCCAGCCCGGCGAGAGCGGCTCCACATCCGGGTACCGCCGTACCCACGGCCGGAGCGGCACCTTCTCAAAGCGTCTAGGAGGGGGATCCTCGGCAATAATACAGTGGGAAGGGTTTCGGGGAGCCGCGCGATCGCGGGAAGAAAGGAGGAGAAAACCGATCCCTAAGCGGCACTCCAGGGTCCAATGAGAATGCGCATGCGCGCGGTCTAGAAAAAGGGCGGGTGGGAAGCCCAACCCCAGCCTCGGGCGGTGGAGGGGCGGATCCCTGGAGTTGCCGCCCGATGGTGCCGCGCGCCCAATGAGCTGTGAGGAAAGCAGTTGGGCCGTCCTGGAGGCGGGGCTGGAGAAAGTGAGGGTCGGGAGGCTACCCCGGCTGCCGAAATTGGACGGCTGTGATGTGGCCAGTTTTTCACTGACTGCTAGTTTTCCTAGGCGAACTAAGTGTGAATAGGGGATTCCACATTCTTTTAGTCTTCTTTTTTAACGAAGGCAGAAATACATCCACCGATTCAGGGCGACCTGTATTTGTGTGGGTGTAAATTGAAAACATTTCAAACCAGACAGAGCAGGTGGTTAGTAGTGTGTTTTTAAGCTGAACAGCATGGTATGGAATGTTGTGAGCCATGGTAAAACCTTTTAGAAGGTGTGTCTTGCCTTTATGCACAAGTACGGTGGTAGGTAGACTCCAAACTTCGCTCATTAATAATTGCCTCCACTCACGAAAAAATTCAGTCCCTAATTACAAAATACAACCTTCAAAGGAAGATTCGAGGATTATAAACGAAGTTTCTGGTTGCCATTATTCAAATGACATTATGCTGCGTAGGGTTTAAAACCGTTGTTTCCACAGGCCAGCACTGTTGGCACTGTCAACATGCATTGTTAGCATAAACTGTTGCTTTTCCTGATAGTCAAAAGAGGGAAACTCTAACAGAATGGATAATCAAGGGGAAAGACAAGAGAAGTGATGTAAAATGTACCCAAGGAATTATTATGTACTGAAATAAAATGTTTTTTGGTTTGTTTGTTTTGTTTTTTGCTTTGTTTTTGAGGCAGAGTCTCACTCTGTCATCCAGGCTGGACTGCAGTGGCGCCATCTTGGTTCACTGCAACCTCCTCTTCCTGCGTTCAAGGGATCCTCCCACCTCAGCCTCCTGAGTAGCTGGGACCTCAGGAACGCTCAACCACGCCCAGCTAATATTTTGTATTTTTGGCAGAGGCGAGCAGGGGGCAGCGGGGGAGCTTTTTGGGGCGTGGATCTCACTATTTTCCCTGGCCGGACTGACTGGTGTCGAACTCCTGAGCTCAAGCAATCCTCCCACCTCAGTCTCCCAAAGTGTTTATCCCAGGGATAAAGCAGACTTGATGGTGGTGTATAAGCTTTTTGATGTGCTGCTGGCTTCTGTTTGTTAGTATTTTATAGAGGATTTTCGCGTCGATGTTCATCAGGAATATTGGCCTGAAATTTTCTTTTTTTGATGTGTCTCTGCCAGGTTTTGGTATTAGGATGATGCTGGCCTCCTAAAATGAGTTTTACGAAGGAGGGAGGATTCTCTCTCTTTCTATTGTTTGGAATAGTTTCAGAAAGAACAACACCAGCTCCTCTTTGTACCTCTGGTAGAATTCGGCTGTGAATCCGTCTGGTCCTGGACTTTTTGTGGTTGTTAGGCTATTAATTATTGCCTCAATTTCAGAACTTGTTATTGGTCTGTTTAGGGATTCCACTTCTTCCTGGTTTAGTGTTGGGAGGGTGTATGTGTCCAGAAATTTATCCATTTCTTCTAGATTTTCTAGTTTATTTGCGTAGAGGTGTTTATAGTATTCTGTGATGGTAGTCTGTATTTCTGTGGGATTGGTGGTGATACACCCTTTATCATTTTTTATTGTGTCTATTTGATTCTTCTCTCTTTTCTTCTTTATTAGCCTGGCTAGTGGTCTATCTACATAGCTGATCTTTTCAAAAAACCAGCTCCTGGCTTCATTAATTTTTTTGAAGGGTTTTTCATGTCTCTATCTCCTTCAGTTCTGCGCTGATCTTAGTTATTTCTTGTCTTCTGCTAGCTTTTGAATTTGTTTGCTCTCACTTCTCTAGGTTTTTGTTTTGTTTTGTTTTGAGATGGAGTATCACTCTGTCGCCCAGGCTGGACTGCAGTTGCGCTGTCTGGGCTCACTGCAAGCTCCGCCTCCTGGGTTCAGGCCATTCTCCTGCCTCAGCCTCCCGAGTAGCTGGAACCACAGGCGCCTACCACCACGCCTGGCTAATTTTTTGTATTTTCAGTAGATACAGGGTTTCACCATGCTAGCCAGGATGGTCTCGATCTCCTGACTTTGTGATCCGCCCACCTCAGCCTCCCAAAGTGCTGGGATTACAGGTGTGAGCCACTGCAGCCTGCCTCTCTAGTTATTTTAATTGTGATGTTAGAATGTCGATTTTAGATCTTTCCTGCTTTCTCTATGGGCATTTAATGCTATAAATTTCCCTCTACACACTGCTTTAAATGAGTCCCAGAGATTCTGGTACATTGTGTCTTTCTTCTCATTGGTTTCAAAGAACACCTTTATTTCTGCCTTAATTTCCTTTTTTACCCAGTAGTCATTCAGGAACAGGTTGTTCAGTTTCCATGTGGTTGTGCGGTTTTAAGTGAGTTTCTTAATCCTGAGTTCTAATTTGATTGCACTGTGGTCTGAGAGACTGTTTGTTATGATTTCCATTCTTTTGCATTTGCTAAGGAGTGTTTTACTCCCAATTATGTGGAATAACCAGCTAGCTTTATAATGACAGGATCAATTCACATATAACAATATTAGAATTTTAGAATAAGTGCACTGTGGTGCTGAGAAGAATGTGTATTCTATTGATTTGGGGTGAAGAGTTCTGTAAATGTCTATTAGGTCTGCTTGGTCCAGAGCTGAGTTCCAGTCCTGGATATCCTTGTTAATTTTGTCTTGTTGATCTGTCTAATAGTGACATTGGGGTGTTAAAGTCTCCCACTATTATTGTGGGGAGTCTAAGTCTCTTTGTAGGTCTCTAAGAACTTGCTTTATGAATCTGGGTGCTCCTGTATAGGATGCATATATGTTTAGGATAGTTAGCTCTTCTTGTTGAATTGATCCCTTTACCATTATGTAATGCCCTTCTTTGTCATTTTGATCTTTGTTGGTTTAAAGTCTGTTTCATCAGAGACTAGGATTGCAACCCCTGATTTTTTTGCTTTCCATTTGCTTGATAAATATTCCTCCATCTTGAGCCTACGTGTGTCTTTGCACATGAAATGTGTCTCCTAAATACAGCACACCGATGGGTCTTGACTCTTTATCCAGTTTGCCAGTCTGTGTCTTTTAATTGGGGCACTTAACCTGTTTACATTTAAGTTTAATATTGGTATGTGTGAATTTGATCCTGTTGTTATGATGCTAGCTGGTTATTTTGCCTGTTAGTTGATACAGTTTCTTCATAGCGTCCATGGTCTTTACATTTTGGTATGTTTTTGCAGTGGCTGGTACTGGTTGTTCCTTTCCATGTTTAGCGCTTCCTTCAGGAGCTCTTGTAAGGTAGGCCTGGTGGTGACAAAATCTCTTGGCATTTGCTTGTCTGAAAATGATTTTATTTCTCCTTCGCTTATGAAGCTTAGTTTGGCTGGATATGAAATTCTGGGTTGAAAATTCTTTTCTTTAAGAATGTTGAATATTGGCCCCCACTCTTTTCTGGCTTGTAGGGTTTTTGCCAAGAGATCCACTGTTAGTTTAATGGGCTTCCCTTTTTGGGTATCCCAACCTTTCTCTCTGGCTGCCCTTAACATTTTTTCTTTCATTTCAACCTTGGTGAATCTGATGATTGTGTCTTGGGATTGCTCTTCTCAAGGAGTATCTTTGTGGTGTTCTCTGCATTTCCTGAATTTGAATGTTGGCCTGCCTTGCTAGGTTGGGGAAGTTCTCCTGGATAATATCCTGAAGAGTGTTTTCCAACTTGGTTCCATTCTCCCCATCATTTTCAGATGCACCAATCAAACATATATTTGGTCTTTTCACATAGTCCCATATTTCTTGGAGGTTTTATTCTTTACCTTTCACTCTTTTTTCTCTAATCTTGTCTTATCACTTTATTTCATTGAGTTGATCTTCAATCTCTGGTATCCTTTCTTCCACTTGATCGATTCGGCTATTGATAACTGGTGTATGCTTCACCAAGTTCTCGTGCTATGTTTTTCAGCTCCATCAGGTCATTTACGTTCTTCTCTAAGTTGGTTTTTCTAGTTAGCAATTCATCTAACATTTTTTCAAGGTTCTTAGCTTCCTTGCATTGGGTTAGAACATGCTCCTTTAGCTCGGAGGAGTTTGTTATTACTGACCTTCTGAAGCCCACTTC